GCAGGACTTTCCAGGGGAAGGCCACAAGTGCAAGCTAGCAATATCCAATCTTAGGACCCTGCGCCGCAAGCATGAAGCTTCACATCTTGCAAAAACAAAACAACCAATTGCTTGCACCACGAGCTAAACCGTTTGATCAGCATCTGGGACTTGGGAGACAAGCTATTTGTCAGGACCTGAGCTGCTACCTCTTGGAGGTAGAATTCCAAAGTCTTAACTCTCGCCCATCTTCCTCTCCAACATATCATGGGAATGTTTTCGGATTGCAAATACATCATGGTGGCACCAGATCCTCTGAGAGATCCGGGAGTGAGGCCGTGGCTGGCTTGCTTGCAAGGCACACCAAGATGAGTCATAATAGCATTCCATTGACTGCGGTAGCTGTGCATAGTGCCACCAAACAAGAGTTCATTCAGACCAAATTGACCGAAAAATTCAACAGCAAATTTGATGACATCAGGATCGGAGATCTTTACATGTTGCTGTCGGGCGAATCTGGCCGTTTTGGGAAAACGCAAATGCACATAGAGTGCGTCAGTCAGGAAACCAGTGTCTGACGGCAGCATCAAGTCTTTGCGCCTCAAGTTGATGAACTCTGCTGGGTGCAACATTCCACTGAAACCTATCATGGTAATTCCGGCCCATCGGGGCCAGTGCCACAAAATAGCAGGGCTCAACACGGCTTGTAAAACTGGGAGTGATAAAACTGGACGACAATGACCTGGCTCAGCTTGCTGCCATTTCTTATCGATTTGCCAGGCTGCTCCAAGCATAGACCTATATTGGGGGGCATTGATCTTGGATGGCAGTAATTGCGTAAACCAGCAAGTAACGTGGGAGGCCGGAACGGTGCAGGTGCAGTCCATAGGCACGCAAGGCCAAGGCACAAGTATCGGCCCGCAGAGTCACTCTGGCCAAATCCATTTGCAGTTCACTATCCAGCCACAATATAAAAGCGTCCAAACATCGACGCATTCGATCAGCAGTGGCTTTGGCAAAGCCAGTATGCAAATCTTGACCAAGCGGTCCAGGATTCCTTTCTATATCACCACCTAATAAAAGCAGGAAACGCAGCCATCTGGCTGAAAGCTTGCTGATCTGGGCCGATTGACAAACCAGTTCCCAGCC